AGCCCTCGGCGGCCCGCCTCAGGCTTTCGGCGTCTAGCCTGCTGGAGGCGGCCAGCCGCGTGGAGGTGACGGCGGGCAAGACAGCGTTCGGGGAGCAGGTCGGCACCGTCTTTGACGAGAAGCACGACTATGCGAAACAGGTGGCCTCGCGTCAGAGCCAATCTTATCCTTTGAAAGTCCTTCGTGCCTACACTCGTGCCATGCAAGCCTTGGAGGAGCTCGGGACGATCCTGCCGGAGGTCGCATGCGCTGGGCCGCTGAAGGACGGCGACGAGGCCGGAGGCCCCAAGGATGCGCTGGTCGCGGTCAGCCTCCAGACTCCGGCTCGGTCGTCGACGTCAGCAAACAAGAGTTGCCCGCCTTCGCGCTGGGCGCTCGTGCTTGCCTGGTCGGCCGGCAGGAACCTGGTGGTCTTCTGCGCCTGCTGTGGCTGGATGACTTCGCCCAAAGCATCTTTGACGGGCGGTACTTCAAGTCTTTGTGTGTGCCGATTGTCTTGGTGCTGTGTGTCCTGCTGGCGTATCGTCCAGACATCGTCTTAGGTGCTGTGGCGAGTTGCGTCCTCGGGGCTGATGGAGCATCTGGCCGACCGGTCCTTTGCGAGTGTCTATCGTCTCAGTCGACGAGGAGCGAGTGCGGTCTCCTCGGCGGCCAACAAGACTCAGGATATGGCAGAGATGGTGGTCACGGTGTTTGAGAATGCCTCAGTAATGTGGGATAACTTGTCCGCCGTTGTGCCCGTCGTAGAGAGCGCTGCAGCCTTGGTCGATGAGATGATCGAGAACACAGCGGCCAGGACTGCGGAGCTCGTGGATCAGGTCCCTGAGCAGATGCAGGCAGAGGCCGTGCATCTGGCGGAGTCGATCGCGTCGACAGTGGCATCGGACGGTGGTCCTCCGCTGCTGGAGCAGCCGAAGTCGAGAGGCTGGGCCAAGTACGTGATCGCCATGTTTATCGGCGGATGGGTCCAAAGATATCTGCGAAGCTAGCGCCTATCTCAGTGAGTACTATGCACAATTGTCTTGGAGCCTCGGTGAGGCCTCCGCTCCGCGTGAGCTGTTAATGATATGTGAATGCTCGCTGCGCTTCGTTACCCGCACGCCCGCCCGTTTGGATGGAGGGGTTGGCAATTTCGAGTTGTAGGTCGCCAGGCTGGCGACAGAGTCTGCCGCGCCCGGAGCAGGTTCCAGGGGCGCGGCAGGCCGCGCGGCACGTACTGTTGGGTAAGATTCGAGGACTGACGCACCTGCTGATGCGATAACAGCGGGTGTGTTTGTTATTATGTACAGCCCTTTCGGGCAAAGGCTCACCGCAGGGGCCCCCGCGAGGTCTAGGCGAATGAGAGCTGCCCTTTAGCTCTCAGCAGACGGAGTAGACCAGCAGGGGAAGGGGGGTGGCCTCAAGCGCTGCCTCCGCTCCCCCGACTGCCTCCCCCGGCAATTTCGAGTTGTAGGTCGCCAGGCTGGCGACAGAGTCTGCCGCGCCCGGAGCAGGTTCCAGGGGCGCGGCAGGCCACGTGGCACGTACTGTTGGGTAAGATTCGAGGACTGACGCACCTGCTGATGCGATAACAGCGGGCGTGTTTGTTATTCTGCACAGCCCTTTCGGGCAAAGGCTCACCGCAGGGGCCCCCGCGAGGTCTAGGCGAATGAGAGCTATGCGTTTTGTTTCGACAGACGTTCACCCCGCAACGACGCGCGCCGGCAGATTCAGCGCGCCCCTTCGCCACGGAACTTCCGGACGGAACATCGGTCGAATAGGGGCAGCGCTAGAGGGGCCGACGTTTTGCATGGGTCGTTTGGGCGCGCCGTCTGCCACTCAGTGATTTGCGCCTACTACCCGCTAGTCGCCCAGACGGGCCTCCTCACTTCATAACCACTACGATCGAGGGGGGGGCGCTTACTGGGGAGCCCCATGGCTAAAGGCACTGCGTACTCTACGGCGACGCATAGCGTCGCAGGTGGGCAAAACATAGATGTAGTCTGCAGCGCGTGCCCATCAGTTCGCAGGAGTGCCAGGCAGGGGGGCACATGTCGCTCCGTCGGCAGCATGGCCTTTGCAGAAGTACTCGCAGGGATCGGGCATGAGCTCGGCACTCTTGTTTGTCGACGTCACGAACGCAGTCCTTTCTGCCATCAGAGAGCTGGTGCTCAGAGCGGACGCGGCGCAATAATCATGACGTGCTCTTATCTCGAACGTCGGGCTGCCAGAGCCACGCTTGCCGCTGCTGGAACGGCGATTGCAAGAGTTTCCCGCGCTGCATCGCCACGACCTCCGCGACCGCTTCAAACCCACGGCAGAGGAGGCGTTCCGTTCGGAATGGCTTCGAGCCCCAAAAGTTTCGAGGGTCTTGGTCGTTTCCATGGCTCGACCTGGGGCGCCGTTCGGGGATGTTGTTATCCAGTGCATTGCATATCGCCCATCATGAAGTTTGCAGCTGCGTGGCGAGAGAACGCGTTGATGCGGGTAGTACAAGTGCACGTTGTACGCAGTACTTCCTACTGAGTGGTATTCAGTAGTCCACGATGTATGGCAGAATTGTGAAGCGCCACAGGCACGAAGCCCAAGGGCCTGCACGGGATGAGGCGATGGCCATTGCTGCGCGCCCTAGCACGAATGTCGTACTTCGCGCTCGTCGTCCGCGGTGATCTGGACAGGCTTGGGCAGATAATGAATGGGTGTCTGCCCGCGCGCGGGAGCTCATGCCTGCCGACGCCACCAAAGCGTGCGTAGAGAAGTCGAGAAGAGATGCGGATGGCGATAGATGGCCGAGCAGAGTGCTCAAGCCCTTGCAAGACGCGGGTTTGCCGCCGGCAAGAGACATGCTACAAGCCGCCTAGCCTACCAATTTTTTTTTTTTTTTTTTTTTTTTTTTTTTTTTTTTCAATTGCCGTTATGTGCTTTCATGCGGGCGGCTTCCGCGTCACGTGACGCCCATGCCGGAGCTATAATTGTCACGGCGACGGGTCTTTGGCAACGGCGCTAGGAGGGGCCGACATGCGCGTTGCGTGCGTGCGATTTGTCCACCCAGGTCAGTTTTAACCAGACACCCACGGCTCGGATACCTTGTCTCGCTGGTTTATCTTTCCACGTGCGCCAGCTGCCACCTGGGGGCCAGAACACGTTGGCAGTTGACGCTCATTATGCCAATCGGAGCGCTCGCACGGAAGGATATCTGGCGTTTCGCGCTGAAGTCCCATTGCGTTTCGCGCCCGTGCCGTTTGCCTCCGCCGCCGCAGTTGCGCGAGACATCCGCGCGCGAGAGCGGGCGCAGGCCTGCATTCAAAATGTTCTGCACCATGTCACAGGCTGGCCAAGAACATGTCCGCGGCAACGTGAGGTTGAGCAGCCCGCCCCCGGGTCGGCCCCTGGCGTTCGCACGTTGGCCGTGGGATAGGGGCGAAGACGGAGGACCACGCTAGCCTCTAGTATACCACGCAGGCCGCATCGCCTGTGTTTCTTTGTTGCTAACCTTTCCTGCGAACAACGCAGGGATGGAGAGATTGTCCAATGTGCTGTTGCGCTTCGAGTTGAAACTGTTTTTCCCAATGCCACATTCAAGGGGTTAATGTTTTTTTCTCTCTCTCTCTCTCTCTCTCTTTCTTTCTCTCTCTCTCTCTCTATATATATCTGCCACGGCATCACAGTCACGCCAGCCACGTTCTCAATATGGTGTTGGCATTTCAAGGCTGGACTTATAGCTGCCATTGAACGGGGGGCTCCTGTGCGAGACGATCTCGGCAGTGCGGTGGAAGGACGTGGGCCCCCTCTCCCCTTAGGTCCTGGTCGCCCCCATGGGGGATTGCGGCAATCACGTCTACGCCGAGGCTACAGGTGCAAGTCTGCAACACGCGTTTCGTGGCCCACAAGCAGGATGAGGCGCCAGAGCCACACCTCCTCGGCCTCCTCCTCTTCCCAACAGATCTGTTATACGATTGCAGCCAATCGGCCTGAGGGGCCCAGGGGGAGACGTGGCAAACAGATGGGGGTTCAGCGCCTGCCCACTGACGCGCACCATCGTTTCCGTACCAGTTCAGCGCAGCAGTTTACAAGAGGCCAGGCAGAGGTCGCCCAGCAATATCTCCAGTCGACTCACGGTTGCCAACATAGCTTAGTGCCCGCACATGTTATTATCGTAGTTCCTTTATTGTTTGTCTGTATTGTCTTCTCTCTCCTCGAGTTCCTTCGTGCGACGGCATCCCCCGATATCATATAGTGCAAGCCTTCGTTCAGTTAGGCCAAGCGGGTATGGTGAGACAGCCTGAATTGGACGATTGCTGGAGCATCCCCTGCCTGTGTTTTTTTTATATGTTCGCTATTGCCGCCCCCCCTGCATGCATGTCAAGGCCAAGTTCGCGTTCCCGCATATTTTTGGAACAATGGAGGCACGTCAGGTAAGTGGGGGGGAAGAGGAGAGAGAGAGAGAGAGAGCGAGAGAGAGAGAGAAGAAACAAACAGAGAAAGAGAGAGAGAGAGAGAACCAAAAAAGAAAGAGAGGGAGAGAAAGAGAGAGAGAGAGAACACAGAGAGATAGAGAGAAAGAGACACACACACACACACACACACACAGCTGGCGAGCGACGCAGCTCGCCCACGCGTTCGCCACTGTGCCCTTTCCGCCTATGCTTCGAGTGCGTCAGGCAAGCGCGACCAGGGAGCAGGCGCGCTTTGCTTGACTCAAGGAGGGGGTCAGGTTTCAGGAATCGGTGTCAGGTGTTTCTCGTCTACCCCGTTAAGGTCCTTGGCCGGCGTTTGCGCCGATGTAGGCCTTACATGTTTGGTTTTAGGTGAGCACCTGCGGAAGTGCTCTCTGATCCGCGTTGCCCGCTTTTGGCGGGCATGCGGCTTGCAGCGGTTCCAGTGCTTCACGCCCTTTGGCCGTGGTTCCCTGGTGACGCCCTTTGCGCGGACTTCCGGTCCGATCTGCATCCTGCGCCTGTTCCTCTTGCTTTTCCTCGTCCTGTGCCTCCTCTTGCCCCTTCCCCCCGCGCCCGTAGCAGGACAAGCCCTTCCCCACCAGGGCCGAGGCATGCGATGTCGCCAACGCAGTGTTGGACGGCACCGACATGGTGATGCTCAGCGGGGAGTCCGCCAACGGCGACTTCCCGGTGGAGTCGGTGACCATGATGAGAAGGACGTGGGGGGCCAGAAGGCCGCATGGGGAGGACGCGGGTGGAGGGAGGGAGGGGAGAAAGAGGAGGAGGAAAACGAGCAGGACTTGCAGGCATCGCGTAGCGACATGAAAAGAAACTCCACACAGGGAAAAAATTGAAGCCCAGCTTGGGGGAAATTGGTCGTGAGCTATCCTGTCGAGATACACGCGCATGACCTGAGACAGAGGAAGCTGGCACGGCCGACCTCCTTCCCTGAGCTGGAACTGGCAGATCAACTATAAACGCGAGAGGAAGCGGGGATGGGAGGAGGATGCACCAGCAGGGGCGGGGAGAGAGGAGACCCCGGAACCCAGGATTGTGATAGTTCGGAGCGCGTTGCCGCCGTCAGCGACGGCCATCACCCCTCCCACGGAGCGGCGAGCGGTCGAGCGAAAACCTGGGGGGGGTTCTAATCATCAGGCGCACTTCGAGTCTGCGGGCCTGGCGTCCTGAGAGTCCCTGTCCTTCAGAGGATGCGGCGAAAGAGGATGGAGCGATGGAGGGAGAGGGGCTGGTGACAAGCTAGGTGCGCTCGCGTCATATCTGACGTCCTACCCCTCCCTCCCATCCCTTACCATGGCGCTGATTTTCTCTATCCGCGGACGCGTGTCGTAGCGGACCTGTGGCTCCGCGCGCGCGTGCGTAGTGGGTGGTGGTGCGCGTGCGTGCGTGCGTGCGTGTGTGCGTGGTTGTGGTGGTGGTGGTGGTGGTGGTGGTGGTGGTGGTGGTGGCTGGTGGTGGTGGTGGTGCTGGTGGTGGTGGTGGTGCTGGTGGTGCTGGTGGTGGTGGTGGTGGTGATGCTGGTGGTGGTGGTGGTGCTGGTGGTGGTGGTGGTGGTAATGGTGGTGCGGCGCGGTGGTGGCGGGCGGATGGGCGCGCGAGAAAGAGGCCCGCGCTGGGGCGAGAACGCCATCCTGAACGACGGAGGCCAAACACCGATCCGAAAATGAGGCCCACGCTGCAGCGGGAGCACGATTCGGAACGATTCGGGGGGAAGTGGGAGAGTATTTTCATATTGTGTATTTGTAAAGTGGGCGTGACATGTCTGCGGAGGACGAGGAGGAGAAAGTGCGAGCAGAGCCTCGAGTTGTCAGGGCAGGGGGGCGGTCAGGGATAATTCCAAATTCGGGCCTCCCTTGTCCGCGCCAGTGTTGCCCCAGATCGCAGTCAGCTCGAGTTCTGCTGGATCACATTCTGCCCAGTGTAGATATTGTACCCCATGAGCACTGCTGAAGTAAGAGCACTTGCCCTGGATTGCACTGTCCAGTGCAGATGCTATTCACTTATTGTCCAGCTCGAGTGTTTCTGGATTAGTTGATTCAGAAATTTGCTGGACCATACATGGGGACACCAGAGAGGGCCCTACCCAGACCATGTCTATCCCGGAAATGTTGGGTGAGCGGAGATGGGAGCTCCGCATCTTACGAAAAGGTTTGGAGTTGAAGCGCAGGCCAGGCGAGAGTCTTCCGAATTACAATGCCAGGACGTACTTGTTGATTAAGCGTTGGTTTTTCCTAGCAGGGCCAATTGCCGATGCACCATAAACTTCTCTTGTACGGTTTCGATCATGCCTGGAGGGAGCGATGCTTCCAGTCTCCCAGTTGCAGTCCTCTTCTCCAGATTGCACGCGGGTTCCGTGACAGAGTTTTGTGGGACACGGCGCAAATTTTCAGCGTAAGTCGTCGCAGAGTTGAAGGTGTGGTGCACGTTGGTATGGCATGGGGCCCCGATGTGAGTGGGAGGACATATTTTGCCTTGCTTTCGGTACGGCTTGGAGGACCATCCGTCACTCGTGCGACGGCTTGCCAGCATGGCGGAAATTATTCCCAAGGTTTCTGGACATCATTTGCAAGCATTGGCAGCTCCCGGCCGCTGCGGCGTTGGAGGCCGAGCAGGGCGAGGCCCAAGAGGGCTGTCGAGCGACGCGCCCAACGCGAGACATGTATGATTTCGACACTTGCCCGGCGGCTCACGGGGACAACCAGCCCGCGATACCTTTCGAGCGCCCGCGTGGCTGCTTTGCTTGCGAGGTGGACTGCCAACCTTTAGCTGCAGTGGCTTGCGGACATGCTCATCTCGCGGATGCGTCCTTGCTCCCGGCATTCGAGCGCATCACGAATAACACATTCCATTTGATAGATTATGGTTGGTCTCAGCCCAAGATATCGGCGATCCAGTCTTTTGGCATCGGTGCGATTACAACAAGATAGCAGAGTTCCTACGTAGTCAATTGCGCCATGGACTGCGGTAGGAGCTGGTTCAAAGAAGTGCCACCAGCAGTTCCACAGTTTTCTGTTGACGATGCCAATGTCATATGCCACTCAGACGGCGGCACGCGCCGAGACTCTTGCTCTGCAGCAGCATGGGTCATTGAAGCTGCCGTCATTAGGGAAGGTCGTCGACATACCTGCCCAGTCGCCTTACGGGATTCGTTTTCGCCTCGCCAACGTCTTCTTTCACAGCTGAGACCGTCGCACTAGACGACTGCATCGCGCATCTCAACAAATTTACTAGCACACCCCAGTTCGCCAAGCGTTGTCGTGTGATTTAACCGTATAACTGTACTTTGCAGGTGCAGGTCTGTCATAGTACGTGGCATGAGGCGTCCGAAGGAAAGAAAAGGATGATGAGGGAGACGAGGACGAGGAGCGGGGAGGAGAAGGCAGGTTGGAGAGCAGGTGGGGAGGAGGGAGTGGGAGGTGGCAGGGGAGGAGGAGGGAGGAGGAAGGTGGCAGCGGAGGGAGGAGGAGGGGAACAGAGGGAGGAAGAGGAAGGAAAGGGGGACGAGGGAAAAGGACTGACCAAGGAACGCACCCCACCCAGCTGAAACGAATGACTGTAAATGTCAGCAGGCCCCTTCCGAAACGAATCAACGCAGCAAGGGACATGCGGTCGCCTTCAAAGGTATGTTGGAAGCCGCTGTATTGAACGCTCATGAAATGAGAGAGTGGTGGTCTTCAAATGTTTGGTAATCATCTTGACACCATGGGGGTTCGGATCACGAGCGGGAGGAGGCGCGGAAAGACGAAAGGGAAGTGAATGACGTGTAGGAGGGAGGAGAAGAAAAAAGCGAGGCTGTCGGGGACAGACCTTAAAACCTGCGATCCTTACTTAAACGAAATCGGGCTTGTGCGCAACCGACTCTTCGCCTTGGGCAGCCGCAGGACTCGTCGTGGGTTTCCCTCGAAGCTGTACCCAAGGGAGGTCTGCCTCCACGAGGGCGGAAGGAAGAAGAGAGCGAGGAGGAAGAGGAGGAGGAGGAAGAGGAGGAGGAGGAGGCGAATGACGGGCATGTGTGGGAATGGGTGAGGAGGAGGAGGAGGAGGAGGAGGAGGAGTCTGGAAAAGCAATGGCGTTGGTCAGAAACGGGTAGCGACAATGTCAGATTACATACATCGTGTCCTTCGCCATCCCATCCTATCCCCCCTCCACCTCAGTGCTCCCTCTCTCTCCCGTATCCTCTTCCCGTCCCCTCCACCCATTGCCAGAGCGCCTTCCCTCTTCTCCCCTTCGCACCCCTTTGTCGCACCAGTCCCCGTACGCTCGTCCGCCCGTTCCCCCGAGGATCGTCGAGGAGGCGGAGAAGGCAATGGCGGAGATGTGAGCTGCCCCCGTCCCCAGTGCAGGCCATCTTGATGAGGCGAGGGCCGGGGAGGAAGCGCGCGGACTTCCGACCGTGTATGTGTATGCCCTTTGTTGTTCATCTAGATGGGGAGGTAATCGGGAGGCAGGGGGATGGAGGGAGGAGGGGAGCATGAGGCAGGAGGGAGGCAGGAGGGGAGGCAGGAAGGGCGGAAGGAGGGAGAAAGGAGGGAGTGATAAGGAGGGAGGAGGGAGGAGGAAGCAGAAGAAGGGGGGTGGCGGGCACAGTGGGGGAGGGAGGAGGCGACAGCAGGGGGCCTCCGAGAGTGCGACCGCGGGGCACGGGGCCTGCCTGTTCGTCTCGAAGTTTGAGCTTCGAGGCTTCACCCTGCCATTTGCGTAGTTTACTTGGCGCGTTCCGTTGCGGCGACTTGCGAAAACCCCAATCGCATGGGGCGGAATGCCGAGGTCTGCAGTGCCCTGAGTGTTCCCTGGGCCCTGCGCGGCGAGTCCAACGTGCTTCCTGAGATGTTGGCTGAGTTTGGGCTCCTGGAGCTCACCGCATCCAGATTTCGCGTTCCTGCGGACAGTTAGTATGCGTGGGACGTTGGCCTGGCAATGGTCGACGCAGGTTGCCCGCCCAGGTATCCGGCGCCGCGCGCGGCCGCCGTGGCGCGGCGGAACCTCCGCTCCAGACTCACGCTCGACTGTGCGTTGTCTCTTTCGGGGGAGGTTCTCAGGCAGGAACTCCATCGCAGACTTCGCGCGGTGGCTCGGCCCGCGGCCTGCGCCGGCGACCGTGAAGAGTGTCCCATGATGCGAAGGATGCTTTCATCCGTCATGGCATGCAGCATTTCTGCGGAGCCTTCTCGGAGGACTACGCCCTGCGTGCTCGGTCGTGGGAGATGGTATTGCTGTTTCAAGGGGCGCGCGCGCTTCTGGGCGGCCTCGATCACGCGCCCACGCGCGGCCGCTCCATCCGACGCCCCGCGGGGGCCCGTCGAGGCCCCCATGAGCGGCCCTTCGATGTTGCGCGCCTGCGTCTCCGGCCCACGACGCGTTGTCGTTCGCTTGGACACTGGAAAGCTCTGCGCGCAGTGGTTCCCTCGGCGCGGGCTCGGTGGCTTGCAGATTTTGCTCGGGCGCGGGCAAGCCGGGTCGTCTCCCTCATCGAGAACTCGTCCTGCCTTGCTGGGGCGCAGGAGCGGGCGTCCAGCTCGCGACTTCTGCCCGTCGCCCCGTCGGGCCTGACGACGTCCGCCGGCTGGCCGGCCAGGCCGCTGCCGTTCTCGGGCATTTCGCTGCTAAGGCACCTCCCGTCAGCGATGCCGGCGCGCGCGGGCGGCTGCTGGAGGCGCCCCCTGGAGGAGCGAAGCGGGTTCGCAATTTGCTGAAGCGTGAGACTCAAGTCACGGCAGAGCATCCTCTCGCGTCAAATTGCATCCGCCAAGCCCCTGGCGACAAGACGCAGCACGGGCGCGGTTTCTGCTCTAAGTTGTTGACCTCGTCTCAGGAACGCCTTCGGTTCCTCGGCGACACCCACAATGAGCTCGGCGCCCTGACCCGGGCCTCCCTGCTCGAGCTCCCCGATTTTGAAGCAAGGGGCGTCTCGCAGGCTGCTTCCTGCTTCGCCAGTGGCGCGGCCGTGGATCAGTTGCCGGGAGACTTCCCTCGGCTGGCTGGCCAGGCCGCGCGATCTCTTCCCGCTCTCTCTACGGCCCGCGAGAAGCCCTCGGCGTTTCCGCAGCCGTGCCATTTGAATGTCATGGTGCTCCTCTCGAAGCAGGTGCGAGGCGAGCGCCAGATTTGGAGATGCCCGTCCAGTTGGCCGCGCGCATGCATCCATGCGTTGTGCACGCCGGCATCTGCGACAGTGCAGCGCGTAATTCTGCGGCGTTGCCAGCGGCGCTCCTCCGCGAGCTGCATCGCGAGGCGGCGGGCGCGGTCGGCTTCGAGTCGGCCCATCGGGGCGCGGAGAAACTGTTTGACTTTGCGGTCCCAGCGCCGCTTGTTCAGTTGGCGCGTAGGTGGGCTACCGCACGCGCTGTACTTTGGCATCGCGGCGCACGCGATCGTTCGACCCCCGCGGCCGGACCCCAGTCCGCGCCCTGGGTCAAGGCGCGCGTGCGCGGCGCGCCCGAGCGCGCGCGCTCGCCCGCATGCCAGCAGTGCCTAGCCGTTCCTGCACCGACGACAGGACACAGAACCTGCCAGGTGCTCGCAAGTACGTTGTCTCGGCCCTCCCTGGGGCAGCAGCCAGTCTGTGAGAGTTCCCGCGCTGCATCATCTCTCCCAAGACTGCTGATGTTGCCTCGTCGCCTTTGGTCAAGGAGCCGAATGGCCGTCTGGAGGACGCAGGGGCGTCTATCATTTTCCAAGAGTGCTCACGCATTTCGGAGTTATGACGGCCGCCGGAAGGAGGAGTTGCACGCAGAAGTTCATGCTCCGCCAGAGGACGGATTTCACGCGTTCCCACATGCCGGCGTTTCTCGCCCGCCAATGCGGTCGCTCGCGCAGGATGTTTGAACCGCCCGTCCCACGGATCGCAGGGGCACGCATGTTTCCGGCCCCCGCTCGCCGATCCGATCTCCGGGGCTTCCGGCCACTGGCCGCCACGGTGCTGAGAAGGAGCGTTTTTTTTCTTCTAGCGACGGCCCCGCGCGGGGGTTGCGACGGGAAGACGGGCGCATGTGATGCCGAGAAATTAGCGGCTGCGAGCGCGTCGGGCTCGGCGCTCGCACCACGCTGGCGCGCTGTTGTCGATGGCGCACTGTCTCTGGGCCGTCGTCGGCCACCGTCTGCGCCACGTTGCACCCCGAGTGGGCGCCGACGTCCTGGGGCCCGCCAGCTGGCGCCCTTCATTTCTAGGCTACGGATTCCCAGTTCCACCTCACCGCATCCGCGCGGCTGCTTGTTTCTCGAGCGTCCTCCTAGTCAGACAGCCCCGCATCTGCATGGGGGAGGGTCCTAGCGGAGCTGATTTTACAGCGCTTCGAAAGTTGCGCGCGCTTCTGCTTAAGAAGGCGCTCGCTCGGACGCTGCCCTGCCGGCGCGCAGCGTTCCGCCAGGTAATGGGCCCGAGGCGCGGCTCCAAGGCGCGGGGCGCCTCGCCAAAGACATGCGCCCCAGGTGCGGCGTGGCTCGTGGGGTTCGTTTGCCAGCGCCTTCTCGATATGGCTGGCCATCCCTAGCGCGAGCGCAGTGCTTCCAGGAACCGTGGTCTAACCCCCTCTTGCAGCTGCTGTCGCACCCCGGCCGCCCCTCCGCGACGCGCGTCAATCCTGGGGTCTGTTCGACGGGGGACATTTGGCGCAAGGGGCCGGGATGGCCCAGACGGTTCTACGGGCAAGTGGGCGCTCGATTGCAGGCTTAGGCGTTGGTCTTTTTTCCCCAATCAGAGTTTGCCTTAGTAGGGGTCCGAGCGGATTCATATGATTAGGTGAGGTTTGGCGCCGATTGCGGCGGCACGCCAAGGTACCCGGGTGTTTGGTAGCTTTATAACCAAATAGCCTTATAGCCCAATAGCCCAATAGCCCTGTAGCCCTACAGCCCTATAGCCCTGTAGCCCTAATAGCCTTAATAGCCCCCAGAGATGTGTAACCCTACAGCCCCATAGCCCAATAGCCCTATAGCCCTATGGCCCTGTAGCCCTACAGCCCTAATAGCCCAAATAGTCCTAATAGCCCTAATATCCCTAGAGCCTTGTAGCCCTACAGCCCTATAGCCCAATAGCCCTATAGCCCTATAGCCCTAATGGCCCCAACAGCCCCAATAGCCCTAGAGCCTTGTAGCCCTACAGCCCTATAGCCCAATAGCCCTTAGCCCTGTAGCCCTATAGTCCTAATAGCCCTACTAGCCCTGATCTCCCTAGAGCCTTGTAGCCCTATAGCCCAGCCCTACAGCCCTATAGCCCTATGGCCCTATAGCCCTACAGCCCCAATAGCCCTAATGGCCCTAATAGCCCTAATAGCCCTAGAGCCTTGTAGTCCTACAGCCCTATGGCCCTAATAGCCCTAGAGCCCTCATAGCCATATAGCCCAATAGCCCTACAGCCTCATAGCCCTGTGGCCCTATAGCCCTATAGCCCAACAGCCCAATAGCCCTATAGCCCCATAGCCCTATAGCCCTATAGCTCCATAGCCCAACAGCCCTGAAAAGATTATGATTGGGTGTTTTTCTCTGGTATCATGGTTATGCTAATTTTCTGGGTTGGTTGCAGTGCGATGCAACCCCCATCGGAACCCACTATGGGCCCCAGGCTGAATGAACCATTTGACATTGTCACGTTGCTGCCTGCCTCTGTGGGCGGCGCTGTGGTTCGCTCCGACAACTTACCTCGGGTCCGGGACCCCAGGAGGAGCGAGTCTTTCATCGCCCATACCTCTCCAGCGGTGGACATGTGGATTCAGATCTGAGGCCGCCTGGTTTCTCGCGAAGGTCTTTTGGAGCTCTTGTGGGCTAGGCCCACTCGACTGCTGCGTCGCGCAATCTCTGGGGCTCTTCCGAGGCACGTTTTTGATTTCATCTTCCGCGCTGATGTCTCGCTCGCCAGGCGCCGCCGTAACTGTCGCCTGTCAGGGGTACGCTGCAATGATCCAGGAAATTGACGAGATGACTGAGAAGGTCTTCCGTCGGTTTTTCTGAGTTCGCCGAGACGTTGCCCTAATAACTTGCAAGAGTCCTGGTCGGTGGAAAATTGGGCCGGGCGCCCCTCCTCTTGCCCCAAGGCCTGCAGGGAACAGCGGCTTGAAATTGTTGATCGTTCTGTCAAAATGATAGGCGCCAGGCTCGATGTTTACGTATTGCGTCGCCGATTTTTGAAGCAGCGCGTGGCAAGTTGCTCGAATTCTTTCCTGGTCGATGCTTGGGGACGTGACAGATCTTTTGGTCGGGCGTGAAGCTGTAATCGCGCACCCTGGGCCCCCCGCGCCTCATGTACTATAGCGTTTGCGGGGGGGGGCGCATGGCTCAGAACTCCAAGCTCCTCTACGAGGCGTGCTCACCAGGAGACAGATCCACGAAACCAGGCGCCAGTGTGTTGGCAGGCCTCCGACGAGGCCTCCCGTTAAATAATGGCGTGGCATGTCCTGAACAGCGATTGCAATTGCAGGTATGGGCGGCGCTGATGATGGCGCACGCGCCCGCGCCAGACCAGGTTGCCGCCAATGGCCCAATCAACCAACTTCTTCTGACGAGCGGGAGCGAGGAAGAAATGGGGGAACGGCGCCCGCCGCCGCAGCACGGCCCTGCAACCGCACGCGATGGGGGGGGAGGAGGCGGGACAGAGGGCGTCCGCCCCGCTCCTTCCGCACCGTCTCGGAGTGGTCCCCATTCGGCACTGGTGAACTGCCCTGCTATCAAGCATTACGTTAGACGTGTTCGATTTCTTTTCGGTGTCATGCCCACCAGCCGTTTGTACCTTTCATAAAAGTGTGGTGCCAGGATGCTCTATGGGACGAGTTGGTGCTGTAAAGATTCATGAGGGGACCTTGCCGCCCAATTCGGGCAATGCATACTTGCTGTTGAGTAGTATCTTGTGTGGCGAGAGTGGCACGACTGCACCATATGCTTCACATGCCGGAACAAAAAAGGTGCACGGACTGCAACCGCGTGCCAGCCTTTCTGCGTTGCATGCTCACGTCTTGCATCGTCTCGCAACGCCCGGCAACCGATTCCTGAGGTCGAAACCCCAAACAACAGCGCACACACGTGTTTCTCTGAACTCCGCGCTGGTTTTCTCTGCTCGGCGCTGGCACCCCTTGAGGGCGCCCCCGACGCCGCCCCTGGCACCCCAGAGACATCGGATTTGGGATTCTCGGGCGCCCCGACTTCCTCGGCAGGTCGACGGGGGGCGGCGGCGGCCGTCTCCGCGCTCGGGCCGGGTGCGCGGAGCTGTTTGATCGGCAGAGGCTGCGCCGGGCCTGCCCGCCGCCGCCCTTGGCTCGGGAGATGGCGGCAAGGACGAGGAGGGTCAGAGGAGGGAGAGGTACCGATACCACTTAAATCGCTTTTGGGCTTCCTGGGAGGCGTTCGTCGCCATGGCCTTGGATTCGCCTCGACATCCAGGTCAGAAGGCACCCCTGGAGAGATCCGAGGAGTAGCGGTATTGGTACCGCTTTGTTTACGCAGAGGGGTGCCCTTGGGGAGAGAGGGGTTGTGATGGGGAGCGGGGGAGTGACGGAAAAGGTGAATCATGATTACGCTGAGGAGGAGGAGGAGGCGGCGGAGGAGGAGGAGGAGGAGGAGGAGGAGTAGGAGGCGGAGGAGGAGGCGGAGGAAAAGGAGACGGAGGAGGGGGAAAGAGATAAGGAGGACGAGGGTCATGAGCAAGACGTTGGGAGGAGCAGGCGCAGCGGCAAGAGAGGAAAGCAGGGAAGATGCAAGACGCCTCATGCCCTCAGGCACCTCGGGGTGCCCGTGGATTTTGGCCCGCGCTGTGAGCGGCCGGCCCCTCCCACGAGGGAGGCCTAGGGCCACGCTCCAGTCGGGCGGGCGGCGGCAGGCGCTCCAGAGTCGGTTACGAGGCTTTGGGCTTCGCTCTGTTGGCTCGAATTACACAGGGCTCTCACCGTGCAGGTCCATGGGACCACCGCCTATCCACCGGGTGCTCGCCGAGGTGATAGGGTTTGTCTGGGGAGGCTTGGGACACGAGGATGCCTTGCAGCATCAGTGGTGTGTTTGTGTGTGCTCGCTGGGCTTTGTCTTGTCCCTCCTCCTCCCCAGACGATCGTTTGACCTCGCCCCTCCTGATGCAATTCATTCCTGAAATTCCGTGGCCCCCGATGTGGCTCGTAGCCCTTCTCCCTCCACTTTATTCCCCGCTTCCTTCAATTGAAACCGGTCGCACGGTCGTGGGCATGGTTTGACCCTTTTGCATCTTTCTTATGGCACCCTTGCACCCCTGCCCGCATGACTATTGGGCGATCGCCCGGTGTACCTCGGAAGATCACATCTAGGATCTGGGATCGAACGGGAACCCCAGAGCCGCTGCAACCGCACACTGATCAATTCAAGTGAACACTCCCACGCGTCTATTTCTTCTTTCATGTGGGGAGGACGATGTGTCGTTTGCAGTTGTTCTCAACGCAGCATGTATCGAAGGGTCCTCGACAACTTGCAACGGCTGGTGCACCCGTGGGCCGAATCTGCTTGCCCGTGGCTTATGGTGGATCGTGGCTTCGCGGCACGCGCGGCTCTGAGGCTCCCCAGGCCACTTGAGGCCCAAGGAGGAGGAGGAGGAGGAGGAGCAATTCCTCTGGTTTGGACCCTCCCACCCCCTGCCCCCAGGGTAGCCTTGCACCCCCCTGCCCCCCCCCCCCCCCCCCCCCCCCCGCCGGTTGCCCCACCCGCTGCCGCCCGCCCGCTCCCAGGCGGCACCGCGCCGAGGCGGTCGGGCGCGGGCGAGGCCGGCCCGTACTCGGGAAAAGGGCCTCTTCGTCGGGCGTCGTTCGCACGCTCGCCTGCTACCTTCCCGCCGCTCCTCGCCGCCGCTGCCCCCTGCTCTCGGAGAAGACAAGTGCTGCGCAAACATAACCTTTCCGAGCTCCGCGCAGATTTCTGCCAGCGCCGCCCTTGGCGCGCTCCGCCAGCCAGATTCAAGAAGTCCGCGCGGAGCTTCGAAAGTTTGTGCTTATGCCGTGGTTGTCTTGTTGCCGTGCTCCTTGCGTCAGCCACGCGCAGGGGGGGGGAGGGGGGGGGCTTCTTAGAAGCACCCATGCTTCTTAGAAGGCGCAGGCCTTACCTATAGATGTAGGGGTGGCGCTTTCTAAGGAGCAGTCTCCTTCAACGAAGCCGCCTTCCCTCCCCCTGCCACCCTACCCCCTGTGCGCGCCGCCAAATGCTTGTGCCGTTGTTTCTGCTTCCTGTGATTCGTTTTCTTGTTGCTGATAAAATCCAACTACCTGAAAATATTATTTTTCTGGCTATCATTATTCGTACCATCATTTGCATGTGCATGGTTATGAGTATTATTCGTAGCCGTACTAGCTTACGGTAGGTTCGCGTCGTGTCGACCAGCGGCGACCCCAGCGCGGGCGTTCAAGGTTGAACGCCGCCGGCGACCCAGAATCGATCGATGTTGAACGATCGAACGTTGCGGCAGCGGCCGATCGTTCAAGGTTGAACGATCCCTGCGGTGTCAAAAACCAACGCTGGGGTCGGCACGACACGAACCTGCCGTAGCCGTACTAGCTTACGTTTCTTTCTCTTCTTCATATTGCGCGGCCACGTGCGGAGATCCGCGGATCTCAGAGAGCGGCCAGAGAGGCGCGAATTCGCGCCGGACGCGCCCGGGGGACCGAGTCGGGGTATCGGGACGGCCGCGGGGCACCCTCGATGTGGCACCACCGGCCCCAAGGCCCAGGCATCCTCCGTTCGGGGGTGGACAGAACCCCCACCCTGACACGTCGATTAGTGAATTGTCCGTTTTCGGTTCTCGGGAGGGCGCCGCGGCCGTCATTTTCCAGGCTTGCGCCCGCAAGGTTAGGGCCCGAGGTCGTTTTCACTAAACCACGTTTTACTAAAGGGGGTTCTGTCCACCCCCGATCCATGGGGCATCCTCGATGGGACACCCCCACTGGGGCATACCTGGCCTCCCTGCTCCCTTTCCCGTGTCGGGAGCCTTGAGATTGGGGTCTCCATGCAGACGGGGGTCGAGCGCCAGATCTTGAAGAATCCTGCAGCTACAGAGCCAGAGTTGTATTGACCCGGACTGGCGCGCAGGGCCCTGCAGGATCTTTTACCGCCCGACTGACCCAGGTTTGCATTGACCCAGGTCAGTAGATCCCCGACCCTGGTTTCGCTGCCCCTGCCGTCACCCACCGCCTCTTCCGTCTGGCCGTTCTCAGCAGGAGAACGAGACGACGACGGCTATTTCACCACGGAGAGACGAACGCCAGAGGAGGAGGAGGAGGAAGAGGAGGAGGAGCAGGAAAGGGGGGCATATACCAATTCTTTACGCTTCGCGTATCCCCACCAGCCCATCTCAAAGCAGCAACTCTTGCGAAGCATGCCGACAGTCGTGTGTTTTTCAGGCGTGTTTCCGCCTGCCCCCACATATCTCCCCTGTTCCTCCTTCCTCCCGCCTCCTTGTACATCCTCCTTGTGGTGGGAGCGGGAGAAGGACGAGGCGGAGGAGGAGGGAGAGAAAGCGCTCCTCGTGGTTTGAGTCGTTTGGGGTTTCTTGTCCTGGTGTGAGTCGTTCGGGCCCTTCTTCCTGGTGTGAATCGTTCGGGCTCTTCGTGATGTGAGTCGTTCGGGCTCTTCGTCCTGGTGTGAGTCGTTCGGGCTTCTCGTGGTGTGAGTTGTTCGGGCCCCTCGTCGTCGTGTGAGTCGTTCGGGCCCCTCCTCCTGGTGTGACTCGTTCGGGCTCCTCGTGGTGTGAGTCGTTCGGGGCCCTCGTCGTGGTGTGAGTCGTTTTGGGAGCCTCTTGGAGGCCTTTTGGGGCGTCTTCGGGGCCTCTTGGCGGCCCCAGGGGCTTCTAGGAGCGTGGGGGGGGCCTTGGGGGAGCCTCTTGGGGCCTCTTGGGAGCCTCTTGGAGGCGGTTTGGGGCGTCTTGGGGGCCTCTTGGCGGCTCCAGGGGCTTCCAGGAGCGCCTCTTGGGGCCATCTTGGGGCCTCTTGGTGCCTCCTGGGCGCTTCTTTGGGCCATCTTGGAGGGAGTGGATCGAAGAAGAGGGGAGGTTTAATGAGCGCTGCTCCCTCGGAAGGGCAAAATGAGGCCAAAACCTTAGCAAAATCAATAATTTTGCCTTCAAGGACGAGGAGAGCTTGCAGGAGCGCTGCCCCCTCAGGAGGCCAAAATGGGGCCAAAACCTTAGTAAAATCAATGATTTTCGCTTCACAGAAGAGGAGAGGGTTTTTTCTCCGCCCCCCCGTCGGGGCCAGAATCCTCGTGAGGGGTGTCGTTTTTTAGCCCTCCCAGGAGTCGAAATTGACCCCCCTGACGACCCGCGGCCCCCCCTCTCCAGGCCCAGGGGGAGGGGGTAGGAGGAGGGGTAAACCCCTCCCCGAAGGGGAAGAAGGGGGGTTGAGAACAGAGAGGGCTCTCTAAACCACTCACGCCCAAAGGGCTGGTGGGATTTGAGCGGGCTTGTTGCTGACAGTGAGGGGGGAAGCGCGGGGAGGATCTCGGTGGGTGGCGTCGTGGTTTCATTCGCACGCTTGTCTCCCTGGCTGTTTGGCTGTTTGGTGCAGGAAGGAAGGAGAAAGGCCAGCCGTGAGCGGCACCATGCGTTGGTACCCGCTATCGTCGCCTACGGCATCGGCGTTGGGGCTGCATGACAGGCCGGCAGCAGCAGGAAACCCGACCTGATCAGCTACAGCTGTGCGGGTGCGAACCGGCTTGCCAACGCGGCGGCGGTGTTCGCAAATTCGCATCGTGCCGCATGCCCCAGACTTTGCCGCTCGCCGCCAGGCCGTCGTCGCGCGGCCGCGATTGAAAAAAAAAAGTAACCCCACCAGCGTTGCAGCTGACGGCACCTTGCCATATTTCTCCTGAGCTTCAGTCGCTCTATTTGCACGACCCGTATGGATTCGGAGGGGATTCATTGCGCTTGGCGCTTAACAGGCGACAGAGCTGGCTCGTGCCTGGGTTGCGCTGCTTGGCAGCTCTCTGTCAGGCTATTGCGCGACCTCCAATTCAGCAAACCGGTTGTTGTCCAAAACCCGGATAGCCAAGCAAGAGGAAAGCAAGAGAACGTTGGGCGGCCTGACGCACGCATTAAACGTGCGTGCTGGGGCTGGACACCTCGCGCGGCGGACCCCGAGGGGCGTTGGAGAGCTGTCTAGGGGCCGCGCGCGCCCGAGGTCTCGCGCTTCCGCCAGCGGCTTGTGCGTATAATCTACGCGTCTCGGGCGGCCTACTGCACGCGTTTACCGTGCGTGGTGGCGCTGGAAACCGCACGCGGCGGAGCTCGACGGTCGCTGGAAAGCTCCCCTGAGGCGCTCCGGAAGCGCTGACAGCGACGCTTCCACGCGTGCCTGCACGCGTGGGGGCACGCTGTCTGGGGTGCTTCGCGAGGCCTCTGGAGCACGTTCTACGGGAACGTATTGGAACAGGCGCTCCGGGACACGCTGCAAGCCCCGGCAAGTCCCTGAGGGGATCGTGGAGCGGAGCGCGTGGGAGTGCGGCGATGCACGCGCACTCGCCGGCTTCTCTTCTGACAACCCTATCTAGCCCAAGAGGCTATCCGGGAATTCGACAGCCGCAGCCTGTGCAGCTGTGTTAGTCCACCCGCAGTCGCTCCCAGGCCTACCTATGCGTGGCTCGGCCTGGGCATTTGCACTGGCATCCACACTCAGTGCAGCCTGCAGCCTACCTGAGGCGACGCTTAGGCAGCGAGTTATTTAGGCTACGCCGCTCTAGCTTGCTTTCGTTTTAATTAGTAGGCCCGCGCCCGGAACTTACGACTCGCCGCTTGCGCTCTCGCCTGCGGCTGCGACCCAGAAAGTAACCCCACCAGCCCATCCAGAAATGATGCCCAGAGGGATTAATTGCCTCGATCAGGGAAATGGGCAGCACACAGAAGAAGGGTCCCCCAGTAGAGGCCTCTTGGAGTGTTTTGGATGCCTCGGAGAGCTTCTTGTGGCCTCTTGGGAGCATCTTGGAGGCCTCGTGGGCGCCTGTTGGGGCCTCCTGGGCGCCTCTTGGGGCCCTCTTGAAACGCTTTTGGGGAGCCTTGGGGGCGCTCTTGAGGCCATCTTGGAGGACATCGATCAAACAAGAAGCGAGCATTTGTTAGCGCTGCCCCTCGGGAGCCCAAACAATCGCCTCTTGGGGCGTTTTTGGGGCGCTCCTGGAGCGTTCTTAAGTGCTCTTGGGGCCGTCTTGGGGCGAGCCTCTCTTGGAGCCCTCTTGGGCCATCTTGGAGCCACCCTGATGCCTCGGATGGCCACCGGGAGCGAAAACTAGAGAAAGCCAACCACATAGATGTTCCGAAGGGTGTTGGCCTCTTCCTCCTGGGGGAGCTCTGGCCACTTGGAGCCGTTTTGGAGCGGTCTTGCGGCATCTAGGAGCATCGTGGGAACCATTATGAGACATCCTGGGATAAGCATGAGCCATTTTGGAGGTCATCTTGGGCTCTCCCAGGCGCTCTTGGGGTCATCTGAATCAGTGCCTCACAAGTGGCCAACATAACACCTTCGTAAAATCAATGATTTGGCATTATCGCCAAGGCCTCTTGGAGCATCTTGGGTGCCTCTGGGGGGTCTCTTGGGGGTCTCTTGGGAGTTTTTTGGGGGCATCCTGGGAGCATCTTGGGCCTTCCTGGCCACCTCTTGGGGCCCTCTTGGGGCACCCTTGGGAGCCTTGGGTGCCATATTTGGGCCATTGTGGGCGAGATCGATCACAGGAACTGGGGGGTCCCTAATTAGGCCCCCCCCCAGGAGGCCAAAATGAGGCCAACACCTTATTACAACCAACGATTGTGGTTTTCTCGCCGAGGCCGTTGTGGACGCCCCAAGGCGTCGCGAAACCCCCCATCCAGGTCCAGGGGAAGGGGGTAGGGGGA